GTACCCAAATGACGCTGGAAGGGGGATGAAAAGGGTGATTGGGATGTCATGTCAGCTTTTCCGACGCTGAACTCCACGATGGCAGGATCCAAAGAATCATTTACTCCTTAAAAGGAATAACTGGAGATTGGTACTCCGATTCGTCGATTTCTTAATCGAGTCACTGCAAATCACGGACCAGAGTAAGGTCAACTTAAATCAATTCAATGCAAGTATGGTATGTACTCCCTTCGTGTAACAATCCACATTGGTTCCCCAACCCTAATAATTACTTATCCTTTTTTAGCTCCTCCGAGTCCCGCTCATTTATCTTCTGTACGTCAAGTATTACACTGGCTGGGCCCGTCAATAAGGCGACTTCCAGCTGCTGGTTATGGTTACGGTCATCTCTCGATCCCGTCCAGCACGCACGAATCATGCTCCCCACGAACAGGTCAAAACCCCGTTCAATCAACGGATACGAGGCAACAATCAACTCCCTTGGTTTGAGACCAGTCAAGTCCACAACGACTGGCGCCTCAAACTTCCTGTTGCTTGGCTGCACTTGCAATGAATGCGGATGACCAATCTGGGCATCATTGCACAGGCTTTGGCGTCCAATTCGTAGGGTCTCCCGCTTGACAACTCGCATAACTTCAACAGCATGCAACCAAGCCCTCAACTGATCAGGCGATTTATGTCCGTCCTTCAAGAAGACGCAAAGGTGGGGTTTGCCGAATACAACAGTTTCAGATAAATCTGGAGTAGTTGGAGACGAAAGGCACGATGGATCAAACCATAAAATGTATTTTTCATCTTTGAAAAGATCAAAGATCGTGGAGGGAATGTGACCATTGCGTGCGAATATTGAGCCGAGGGAAGATCCAATTGTACATCTTCCGAGAACCTCTCCAGTAACGTCGCGGATAATGTCAGGTCGATGAAATATCCTTTCTAAACGGGCAATCTCCAATGGTGTTGGAGCTCGATGTTCCTCCCGTGAGGCTTCGTTTGTTTCAATTGATCCCTGAAAAAAGGACCATGCGAGAGAGGCACGTTGACGATTAAGGGTGCGTAAGACCACACCCCTCACCGCGACAAAGTTGATGCAAAGGTGGAGAAAAACGAGTAGAAACAAGGCGAAATAAGTTGAAAAGGGCGTTGTGAGGTAAGGAACGATGAGAGTTCCAAGCTACATGGTTGTTTTTTTGTTCAGTCATCACGAACGCGTGTCACGGGCAAGAAAGGACTTGGCTTACCAACATCCCCAAAAGTCCCAACACGGTCTCTTTACTCGAATCTTTGGCGCTAAGGTCACCGAGATCTCCCGATCCTTCAAGAGGTGTGGCAAAATGCAAAGTAATTGCTGTCTTCGAGCCTCCAGCTGCAATGCCGCACAACGCCCGAAAGGAAGAGCTCAGACAAAGGGTATAGACGCGAAACGGGATAGGTATAATCCTCGAAAGCACGAGGAAGGCAGGAAGAGACGCTAAAACAGGAGAAAGGGTATCTAAAACGATAGCAAAATCATTTAGAACATCGGCTAGGAAGCGGTATGTTTTGGCCTCGGGCATAAGAGAGGATCCATAATAGTAGGCAGCAAAGATTGCTATTGAAATCAACAAATTGACATGAACTGAATAAAAACATTCACGTACTAGTCAATCGACCAATCATGTCTTGAAGAACTGACAGTAGTAAAGCATCCGTAGCAGAGGCAGATGCGTTCCCGACACCATAACCTATTACAAAGCCCCGTGAGCAATGACACATATAGAGACCTAGGGTTAATTTCGGAGTATCCTTGACCTTCTAACGTCGCTCTCGAAGAGAGCATCCCTGCTAACGAGCTGCAAAACGTTTGTAATGCGTTCAGTATTGAGTATCTAGACATCTTGGAATCAAACACCTGAACACGGGGCGACGTAAGATAATTGAATATACCTCATGTAGTCTTTTCATTAAAAAGACAGGGTTCGTTGAATTTCAGTGAACATCTTTCCACATCGGGAGTTGAACATAGTACCCACCCGGAGACACAGTTTGCGGATATCCAGTGGGTAGAAAAACCTTGTACATGAAACTGACCAATGAATTGAAGAACCATAAGCTTTCCCGAGAGGTGACATTCTGTTTTGATTCGCAAACGAAAAATTGCAGTCAATAATAAGTGGATTTATCCCCATAAAAACTGATACTTACTGTCGACTGGCCATGTTTTCGCGATAGACCACCTGGTTGTACTTCGAATAGCGTCCCTGTTTCGTCCTTTTCGATTATTCTCATCTGAATCTGGGATCAAGATAGCCTGCCGCCGCAGTCGTAAAATTTCCAGCGGTCAGGTCGTGGTTAGATGGCAAGAGATATGAGCGTCACATGATCATGATCCAGGTTGGCAATTTTACCACCCGGTTCAATTGAGAACGCCGAATTCGTTACACGAAATGTCAGCCAATTTCCAGACTGACGATCATATTTGTGGTGGCGCATTCATGTAGGCGGCGTTCTTTGTGACGCCAATTCTCGCATCTCCTGTCTATCTTTCAGTTTAATCACAAGCAGGTTCACACACTAGTCAAGGGATCTAACATAAAAAGGAATTAACAGAGTTACTATTAATATCTGAGTGCACAAAGGCACATGTGGTATCTCTTCTAGATGCAGCCACAAAGCAGCCAGTATCACAATCAATCTTTATATGTAGTCAACTGCCTCCATTTCTATCAGTGAAGCCTGCGATGAATAACCACTCAACCGAATAGGCTTACTCATGCAAACCCAAGCAAAAGTAAATCTTAAGGAGGTGCTTGAAATAGTTTGTCTACTACTGACCATCGGAAGACTGAGACCTACAAAGATATCTCTATGATTTACTCTGAGGCACTGAAAATGTATATGAACTTTCATTTGTGTCCTCAAGTTAACTTACTATACTTCTCTACAATCAAAGTCTCTGGGACACAACAAACCCTCATATCCACCATTCCAGAAACTGTATTATCTTGCATACTACTTCCCCCAATCCTGCAATGCATTATCTGGTAATGGAATAAATCATAGTAAGAAGTTGAACCCTTAATCCAAATGATTTTTAGCCAGAAGCGGTGTTTTTTGTCACCAATGAATTCAGAAGACCTTGGAATGTAAAACGTTAGCCATCCTTGAGTGAAGCTGATCAGACTTGGCATATGTTTCAAGAACATGTCTCAACTTTTTCCAATTTTCAACTTTGGGTCACATCCCCGATTCTCTCAGCGCAAAACCATCACGTTACTGAGGCAACTAACTATGATTCTTGGGTGCGCTGGTGGAGTGAGCAGGTGAAACATTGAAAGTGTTATTCCTCAGAGCATAGGGATCGCTGAATATGAATGTCCGCAGCAAAGACAAATAACAAGTTCGAAAGGTCTCTCGGGTCAGGAACGAGGGGAAACGCCAAGTTTCGATAATCTTTTAGCGAACGACAATCATAAAAAAAATCAACTAGTAATTAGAATCTATATAAGATATGCAATGAAGTACTGCGACGAAGGGGGTAAAGCCCCTGGGTCTACCGATAGAATCGTCGATAGGTATTCTCATGAACATATCCGGATCTTCCTACGGAATTCGGATAATCTGATACCACCAAGTTCATCGTGAGATCAGGTGCACATCTCTGAGATACAAAAAAAGACTAACAGTTCAAAGAATCTCTGGACTCGGAATAAATGGCATCTGTAACGCCACTGGTATACTGTATAAACCCGAAGGGGAACGGGAACTACCTTCCTCAGCTAACCGCGAATGGTTCGGAGCTAACAAGCAAAAAAACCAAAGAGAATCGGCAATCTACGGTTGGGAATCCTCACACGAAGACAAAACGGAGGCTCACCATTGACAGTCCAGGGAGCACGACACCACGAGCAAGTAAGTTCAGTGTCCGCTTCTTCTTTGATGTACAAAGTATCTGGCACAAACCGCTCAAGGATGAAACAAAGGTTCAGTGGAAATGAGAAGGTTAAACTCACATCTGTTCCAACATTCCGTATGTGCCGCATTTCCACATTGTGTGCACCACTCTAAAGAATCTTTCAGGTCTTCTACGGTTGGTTTGATTGGATCGTACATCGTCTCGTGGCATATTGGACAGTTGTCTTCCAATGCTGGTATACGTCGTCGTTCTGCAGGACAAATGAGTCAGGGCGGAAAGACAAAGGATAAACGCACGAGGCCGAGCAATGGCTTTCTCTCCATCGAGTGCTTTTCGATTCTCCTGAGCGAGTTCGAGGGGTGGAGGTGGTACAAAGGTGGGGTTAAAGTGTTCTTCGAGTCCAGGTAAGAAGGGAACGGCAGGCCTATGATTTCTCCGAATCAGTGAAGTTCTTGATAGCCAAGACATGAAGACAGAACAAAGACAGAACATTCGGAAGAAAGAAGGAAAAGAAACTATAGAAGGTGTTACGAGGGATTGAAATAAAAGGCACCCATAAATACAGTCTAGGGGGATAACCGCACGTACTTTGGGTACCGATGACCTATTAATTGAAGGCGTTATTCAACAAAAAAAAAACTGGGTGTCCGATTTGAAACGAGTGTAAAATTCATCCAGCTCGTTAGAAGCGCACTCTGCCCTACGTTAACAGTCACTGCGGCCGCCACTAAGTCTTGGGAGCAGTTGCAACGAGGTCTTAGTCTTTCATTGACGGGTCGGCGTGGACATGATTTCTGAATGTGGGCGGTATCGGGATATATGTAGAGGTGGCTAAGACTGAAACATGCTCAAAGCGTTGTTTTCACGTTCTCTGTTCAAAGCACTATCGCACGTTAGAACATGGAAAGACGTATAGCAAAACACAAGGCTGAGAGAACACCACAAACATCTTTTTATGCTCCTTTCGATACTGAGCTGTACTATAGAGTTGGAAGTAATGGTGCATAATAGAGCCAGATAGAAGGGTCAGAATGGTCCTAGTCTGGATCTTGACCTCCAAGCTGAAGTCTATGAACGTATCGTGGCGCGATGGGATGATGGGAGATATGCCGGTTTAGCTTAGTGGTAGAGCGTTGCACTTGTATTACTCCATTACGAGCGAATACTATGCAAAGGTCGGTTGTTCAATCCAGCCAACCGGCATTTTTTTCTCTCCTGAAAAGGCGCCGCATTTCATGTCGCGAAGCCTTCCCCCCGCCCCACAGACACGTAGCTATAGGTCCAGACTGCCGTGCAATAATATTACTCGATACCAAGCAAGAGCATCCTATCTTACAACATAAAAAAAACAAAACAATAAGGATATCAAATATATCACAATCTACCACCAATCGCCCTGTTCCTTCATAGCATCAGCGACTTTAATGAAACCAGCAACGTTGGCACCAGATAGCAAACTGGGAAGAGTGCCCTCAGAAAGATTTTCACCAGACCACTTGCTTCCAACATTCAAGCAAATCTAAAAACAAAAACCGATCCACATCGTTAGTCAATAAAAAAAAAAAAAGGTACGTCTACCGAGCAAACTCACGTTATAACATTCCGTCATTATACCCTTCAACCTCGCATCTACCTCCTGCTGCGTCCAATTCAGCCTCTGACTGTTCTGCGCCATCTCCAAACCGGAAACAGCAACACCTCCGCAGTTGCTAGCCTTTCCAGGAGCGTACCATACACCTTTGCCTTTACCCTCCTGCCTAGACTTTTCAAACACTTCCACAGCTTCGAGCGTACACCCCATATTAGATCCCTCAGCTACGATTCTCGTGCCAGCGGCGATAAGTGCTTCAGCTTCGTCGCCGGAGACTTCGTTTTGGGTTGCTCCAGGTAGAGCGATGTGGATTTTAGGTAGTAGTTTCCATGGGCGTTGGCCTGCAAAACCGTTTTTTTTTGAGTTGTGAGACGAAGAAGAAAAAGGTAGCCAGAGCAACGCACCAGCATGGTAAGCGTACTCAGTTTCAGAAGCGAAATCTTTGTAAGACTCGAGTGACCCGCCCTTCAACTTGAGTTCTGCGATTTTTTCGACGACTTCCTTGGAGAAGCCTTTCTCGGTGGTGGCGATGAGCGCGCCCTTGGAGTCGGAGAGCGACATGACGGTAGCTCCGAGCTCGATGACCTTAAGCGCAGTGTACTGAGAGACATTGCCAGAGCCGGAAAGGGCAACGAGTGTAGAAGGTTTCGTGAGGCTATACTCTGGGCATGCTCTCTCGATCATCTAAAGTTTCGATAACGTTAGTTGAATGTACAAAGCACGTGGAGAAATGAGGAACGTACGTGCTCAACATAGTAGATAACTCCATATCCAGTAGCTTCAGGTCGAATATGGCTTCCTCCCCAACGAAGCCCTTTCCCCGTAAGAACACCCGTGAATTCGTTTCTCAGTCTTCTGTAAGCACCGAAAAGGTAACCGATCTCTCGCCCGCCAGTTCCGATATCACCAGCTAGAAGGGAACAGTAAAAAGTTGAGAATCAAGTTTACTTGCATCAAAGTGAGCGTACCAGGCACATCAGTATCTTGTCCGATATGCTTCGATAATTCGGTCATGAAAGACACACAGAACCTCCTAATCTCCGAATCTGATTTTCCCTTCGGGTCAAAGTCGGAACCTCCTTTACCACCACCCATGCTCAACCCGGTTAGAGCGTTCTTGAAAGTCTGTTCGAACCCGAGGAATTTGAGGATGGAAAGATTGACAGTAGGATGGAGCCGAAGGCCGCCCTTGTACGGACCGAGAGCAGAGTTGTACTTGCGAAGAAGTGAACATGTTAGCTTCGAGCACGATAGAAGAAGGTGTGAAAGGTTCGCACCTGAACTCGGAATCCACGGTTCACCTGTGATCGTCCTTGATCATCTTCCCAAACGACTCGGAATTGAATGACTCGTTCAGGGACTTGTACGATATCGAGGGCTTTTTGATATTGAGGGTTCGCTTTCAAGAAGGGTTGAAGGCTGAGAGTGAGCTCGGCGAGTGCCTGTTGAAACAAGAAAGTTTAGCCGACATCGACATTGAAGGTAGGCATGACTGCTGACCTGTTCGAATTCGGGCTCATGGGGAAAGACCATTTTTGTTCAAGTTTTGAGGTTCGAGCTGGAGGATAGAAAGGAGTGGTGTGCTATAGGCAAACTCCAGGTGAGGATTTTATACTCCCAGCTTCCACCAAGCCTGGTATATACCTGGGCCGTACTTGGCCGCTGACTCGAATTAACTTTTTTTTGTCGGGACTATCCATTTTTTAGCGGGATTATCACGGGAGAGAAGGGCGTTTCGGTCGACCTGCACCGATTCGGATCGGACTCTATTTTGATTTAATGACATCTCCACGTTGCTGAAATAACCGTTTTGCGACGCGTCTTCGCGGTCAAAGCTGTCCAAATTTTGCAAACAGACACCTCTCGTTCCCTTGGCGAGAAAAGCGATAAGATAATGGAAAGGATAAGATGAAAAAACCCGCCCAACTCACCTAAGTACCTTGTACACCAGTTGCGGTCATATCGGACTTGGGCATCCTTATCTCTATATCCTACTCCGCGCCATGTGTGCTTATCTTTACTTCCGGGCTTCCCTATCACTGGGGTGGTTCAAACAGAGATAAGGAGCCGCTTCAAGCCGTTGCGTTGAATCTCTCATCAACGCGCCTCAATCACAGACGGGAGAATCGCGGATACCCGCCAAGGATTTTTTCGCCTTCGTACGTAAAACGTCGGTACGGGAGAGCTACACTGTTTCCGACATTCCCCGCAATATCTGTAAGGACTTTGTGTCACTGTTGTAGACCCAAGCCTGACTTGGCTGCTGAAGAGAATCCCGAAATTCGGCGGCTGAAGACACGTGTATAACGAAGAGAACCGTCGATTGGTACGACTAGGCGTCTTGGGCCGTTCCCGTCCTTCCATGGAGTTTAATCGAACGATGAATGGGCAGATTGCAATTGAAATTCGGCCGTGCATGCTTGATGGTCCCAACATAAGTATAAGCATCTTCTCGTCTCTCCGCCCATCTGATTGTTGTCCATGGAGAGTAATTTTGGGGGTAACCTTGGGCTATTAGAATTGTCCATGACCCAATATAATTGCGGATGGATATCACGCTAACCAATGTCCGTAGCATCGAGACTATCATCGTAAATCATCCGAGCGTCACCTAGGCCCATCTAGTGCTCGAATTTGCCTATCTTCTGCCTGCTTCTGTAACACAGTGTCTACCACGCGTTCGACGTGGTTCTGCGCCGCGTACTTTCCGATGATTCGATTCCAATCTTTGGAGGCCCAGCAATCATTCAACTGTAGTGCGAGGAGATTAAAGTGACCGTTGGGTGAGAACGAAGTAATAGGTCAAAACCATGGCGAACGCACCTTCCATCGCGTCAAACATCGCCTTTTCTCTCTCAACACCACCACATCGTACTCAATCCTCGGGCCCATGTCCATCTACGTCCATCTATCTGAACTTTGAGATCTGATTCTTAAAATCAGAATTTGACTCGGATCCCTTCCGTCCTTGTGCGGGGAAGCTTAAAAAAGTTGCCCCTGCGGTAGCCGTCACTACACAACGCGTTGCGGGGTATGATATATGATACGTCAAAACATGTCGGCCGTGGAATGGATGCAGGTAAGCTCAATGAGTGTATGCCGTCGATAGGAGTTCAGAACATCCTTGTTGATGGTTTACAAGAGCCTGGGGGGGAGGCTGGAGATGGAGATGGTGGTGGTGAGAGATAAAGAAGCGCGAGCAAGGGTTCGTTATGGATGGGGGTGGGCTTTATCGGGTGGCGTTTTCGGACGCTTTCTTTTATGATAACCTGCCCATCACTCACGACAGCACAGTACGAAATTGCGACAGAGCGTCAGGCTGCTATCGTATAACCATAGAATGGAATGGGTGTACGCGCATACATAGCTACTTCTGGTCACCCATTGAAGGATTTTTCAAGGAACTGACGCTAGATGACTTACGGGCCACTCTTTACAAGTCTATCTTAGTCTAGTGTTGGGTTCTCGACATCCTCTCTCTCCTAACCAACCTCAACGGAACGTCTTTTATCGCCAACGTGAACCCAATACCAGCATCCAAAACCCTGTGTTTCCACCCTTCTACAGCTTCATCTGGCCGGAGCAAAGGTTCAACCTTCCAATCCCTCAAAAACATCGTCAAGAAGCACACCGCTTCAGCTGTAGCGAATTTCCTTCCAATACATGCTCGAGAACCTGGCGGGATCCAGGTTAGTCGTGGTATCATATTGGACAGAGCTCCGAGCCTTACCAATGCTGAAAGCAGTGAACTGTTCCGAATCGTTAGGGATTCCATGCCAACGCGATGGTTTGTATTTCTCGGGTTCCTCAAAGTAACGTGGATTGCGATCTAAATGGCTAGAGATGACGAGGAACGGGCCTGTTTAGATATGAAAAGCTACTCACGAATGCCAATCATATCAGCAATCACCTACGTTCAGTCACGGAAGGAATGAACACCGTCGGTCCTCAGCAGCAACCGGTTACAAAACCACTACTCACCCATGTTCCTTTCTGAATGGCACATGGCTGCGTTCCCTCTTGGCCACGGGGGTTTGGAATGGGAATGACAGCATCCTCCCCCATTACACGTAGCATCGCGTATCCGGCAGCTAAGGGAGGGATACGTTCAGGTGATTACAACCTTCCACAGTCAAGGTTCTCACTTACGGAAGAGTCTCAAAGCTTCATAGAATGCAGCCAAAACCTTGTTTAGGTTGTTATAGTCCTCGAAAGTCTTGATAGAGGTAAGGCTCAACACGGTCTTCACAAATAATAGGTCGAGAAACTTACAGGATCACGTTCATATCCTACTGCGTCGACAATCTGCTGTACCACTTCATCTTGTGCATCTTGATCCAAGGACAGGAAAGCAAGGGTTGTGGCCAAGGTGTTAGCAGTGGTTTCTGATGAACCTAGATGTTAACGCCGTAAAAACAAGGTTTCCAAAGATGAAGACTAACCGTGGCCGGCAAAAAGCATGACAAAGACGTTCCCAATCTAAAGAATATGAAGCCGTAAGTGTCAACAAATGGAGGGAGTTTTCCTCCAGCTCACCAATTCCGAATCTTCTAGTTTATGTTTACCACCTTCGGATTCATTCGCCTGTACAAGCATGCTGAACGCATCTCTC